AAAAATAAAATTATTCTCGTTTAATATTTTTGTCAATTAGTAAAATAAAGGTAACAGGAAAAATAAAAAAAATGGTAAATAGAAACATATATAATATATTGTAAAAAAACATCCAGAAACTGGACCTGTTTAAAATCTGGTGGCCAAGGACAGTTTTTTAATTTAATAAATAGTTATCTTTTTAATTAATTATTTCAGCTGTGTATCGGTAGTTTCAATTAAATATTTAGTTAAGCGTTGTGTTAGATAAGCCGTATGTTGGAAGTTTCAATAAAATAATTAGTTATGCGTTGTAATAGACGAGCCGTGTGTCGTTCAATTATATAATTAGTTAAGCGTTGTATTAGATAAGCCATATGTAGGGCAATTCAAGTATAATTAGTTAATTGTATTTGATAAGCTTTATGTCGGACATTTCAAAATAGTTAAGCGTAATTTAAGATATTCCGTGTGTCAGATATTTCAATTAAATAGTTACGTAAGCGTTGTATTAGAGAAACTGTGTCTTAATAATAAGATATATTTTAACCTGACCGATATTAAGAGTGATAGTTAATTTTTTATAAGCAAAAATGAAGACATTAAAATTTGTTAAATTCTGGAAAATACATTATAATATTTTCGAAACATTAGTAATATGGAATGTAGTTTAATTTGTCGGAAGGAGGAAGAGGGTAAAAATAAAGCGGTACAGGCACACAATGGGGAAGAATAAGTGATGGGTAAGGTAACGTGGTTATTAGTTTAGGAGTAAATTAAGGAGTGAAGGAATAGTGATGTAAGCAAATCAGTGCATAGTTCTGATAGGCAGAATTTTGATGATAATCAAGCGTTGTGGGCCATATAGAGAGCCAAGAGAGACTCGCAGGTAAGAAGAATAGTAATAAGACATAATTTTGAGCCTCAAGGTAGGGGAGGGATGTTTTTATAGTTGCAGTAAACCAGGTCATATGCCCTGATATTGCCATGAGACAAAATCTTTTGATTATGAAAAATTTGGACATATCATCTCTATTCAATTAAACAAAAGAGATTAGATTGTGCCGGCTTGGCTAATTTGGTCATAATAGGTAGGAGTGTTTAGGAGTGTTATACGAGCAATTACAACGACAAAAGTGGTCTTAAAGAGAGAGGGATAGGCCAGAATGCTTTAAATATGCAGGCTATTGAAAGAGAGAAAATAGAAGTGGTTTATGTGCTCAATATAAAAGAAACTAAATATAGCTATGGTATGTTTCTTGTGTCGAAAAGAGCGACATGTGGCAAATGGCTTTAGAAATATGTGACAATATGATGGCAGAGAATGTGCAATAAAGGTCGGGGCGAAGCGGTTAAGAGTGATAAAGGGAGTGCTTTCCTAGGGAAAAATAAATAAGAGGGAGGTGTATAATTATGCTACAAGATATGGTTGAACATGATTTTTGTCCTAGAGTAATGTAAAATTTAAATGGAATAATAGTTCCCATGTTGTTTGATAACTATTTCGGTAATTGGATGCAATAGATATCAGAGTAGTAGGCTGAATGGGAGATAAGAGAATAAAGGATTAAGAATACTACAATTCAATAAGACTCAATTGGCAGCAATTGGAAGGTAAATTGAAGCAATATTGAATGAGAGTTGAAGTTTTAGATTTGTGGATTAAAAATCGAAATATAGAAGTTGTGATTGGGCTAGATTGGTTCACTTGAATAGGTCCATGGAATAGTTTTTAGGGTATTGTCATGTTGAGGCGTATTTGTATTAAAAACTAGTGACTATTATGAAGTTATCAAGAGTGAGCATGGGTTGCCGGGAGTTGAGACTATGTTGAATTGTGAACTAAGGGAATTTAATTATAGGAGAGAAATGGGGGGAAATAATTTTAAAAGTGATAGGGAGAAGATAAATAGGAGCTAAATAGGGGAAAATAATTAGAGGGACGAAATAGGGTTAAATAATTTTAATAGAGAATTAAAGGGAAAATATAATAGAGGCAATAAGGGAAAATAATTATAGGAGCGAAATAGAAAATAATAATTTTAAGAGGAAAATAGGGGGATGCATTATAAAAGCAAAATAGGGGAAAATAATTCTATAAATGAAATTGGCCAAATCTAAGACCGAAATATAGGAGAAATTTAAAGAGCGAAATGGGAGGAAAGAATTATAAGTGCGAGAATTTTAAAAGTGTAATAAGGGAAAAAATAATTATAGGGGAAATATAGGTAAAAATTGTCCAGGGGGAGTTAGACTTTTTAAAGGATATTGTGATATTAAGAGAAGAGAGAAGAAAGGGACTAATTGTAGTATCAAAGAAACAGAGAGGTCAAAAATTCTGAGGCGCAGAACGATGAAGTAGAGTTGACAACTAATGAAGAAGATAATGACAAAAGTGCAAGACAAATTTCGGAGGTTAGTACAAAATTATCAAGAAATTTTCAACAAAGATTTGGGATGCCTTAGAGGTTATGAAGTGGATATTAGAAAAGAAGTAGAAGATTTTGTGGGATATAATGGTACATCCCGTACAATACAGAGAATTAGCCACTACATTGGCGCCTGCGAAGAAAGCCAATGGCCGACTCTTTCTAATATGCAAAATCTGTGGGTTGTGGATGTCAAATATCCCTAGCCATGAATTGAAGAAATATTGGCCAAAAAGGGAAATATATATTTTTCAAAATTTGATTTCCTTACATTAAATTTTTTCTTCTTTATTCTATTTGATATACACGGACTTGTTTAAACTACTATATTGGCGATTGAAAATTAAATGCATCTAAATGTATTAATACATAGAAGTCAGGCCATACCACTATTTTATGATTTACAGATCAAAAAAATGACATTAATATGTCTTAATATAATAATCGATGCAGGCAAAAAAATGGCGCTTTAGTGAATAACTAATCTAGTAGTATATATGGTAAATAAATCAAGAAAAAAAAATTTTTCCTCTTCAGATTTTTCGAAAATAGAGTTTGTATATTATTAGCTTCCAATTCCAAAACAGTGGTTGTGATGAGATATAGTGCTGCCAAACGGCTCGTTTTGAGCTTATTTCCAAAAACGGTTAACTTAATATTTCACCTAGAAAAATGCTGAGTAAACTTTAAAATTTTGCACAGGGAAGAAACAAAGGTCTAGACATATATTATGGAAATCTTAAGGCTTTGGCAATATTTTTATGGATGAAATATTGAGTTAGCCGTTTTTAAAAATCTGCTCAAAATGAGCAGTTTAATAACACTACATATGAGCCTCTATATGTCGAAAAATTAGGCGTTGGATATAATTGAGTTAGAAGCGTCATATTTGAATTTCTTTATATAGCCTAATAGTAGGCCTTTAAGATTATATAATGGTAAAATTTTTTAAAACAGGAAATAAGTAACCGGATATAATAATAAAATATATGCTAGAAGATGATTTGTCATATTTATGAGTACTACTTGTATTTTTCAGTATTTTAGGTTAGCTGTTTTATATATATTCCTATATTTATAAAGTATAGAAATTGCATCAACATGATTGCTATATTTTTTTTTAAAGTAACAGTATTTATTTATATGTGTAATTTAAAAATATATATTAAAAATATCATGTAAACTTTTTATAAAATAAAATCTATATAACTTCTGTATTAAATAAAATTAGTATAATAAATTGTGTTGGGAGAGTGGAGGTCAAAAAAGGGAGTCGTGGATGGCGATACAATTAGATTTGTATATATCATTAGATACAAGCTGTTAAAGATAGAAGCGGTCCTGTGGGTCACCAGTGATGGCGCGAATTTTTTTGCCAAGGGATTTGAAGAAGGTTAGGGCTTGATTGCCAATAAAACCGGTTATGCCGGATACAATTGGTATGAGATCGCAATTGGTTAGGGAAATGTATTTATTAATTTTAGAGTTTTCCGCTCGTATGAATGAGTTGTTACTGAACGAGGAAGCGAATCGGTCGAATCAGCTATAATCCCATGCTAATGGAGTTCCATTATTCCAAGGTATTAAGGTCAGCCCATCTGGCCGGATACTATTTTCAGTTGAGAGACTACAGGTTTTAAGGGTTGCAGGAATTTGAGCTGAACGTAGAGCGCGGAGGTGCCGTTAACTGCACTGTGCGAGAATGTCTACCTTTAGAGTATCGACAATGAAGAGGGTGATGTCTAAAACAATCAACGGGTTGGAAACATAATGAACATGTGGAGTTGGCCAGTATTTTACAACCAAGACGGAGACCTATTGCTATGCGTAATTCTTTGTTTGTTAAGAGAAGTCCTAAGTTTGAGCTGGGCAAAGCTTCTAACCATTCATAGCCCGATAGGGAAGGCAAAAGTTGTGGAACTTGCAGTTGTGGGAGAGATAGATTATCAACTGTTAAGGATTCATCAACTGTAATGGGCGATAATAAATGTGAAAGGATTGATGTGGATCCCTTAGAAGCAGCACTCGATATTAGATATTCAACGGAGTGGCGTATTAAGGAAAGATCCCAGTCATGTTGCTTTCGTGATGTGGGGATTGGAGAGGAGAAGGAATTCTCTTTCCAGATTGTTAGGGCGTGGGGAGGTGGGGGGTCGGTGGAGTTATTGCTAAGTGATAGAATAATTAAGCGTTAGCTTGTTTCTGAGGCTAAAAAGGCATCAAGGCTGAGTGTCCCAGGTGATCTTAGGCCAAGACTTCCAAATTTCGAAGATAGAGAGACCTGCATCCAAGAATTTGGGCTGAATTTTATATTGAGGTTGCCTTCTAAAGAGTTTTAGATTGTTAATTCTTGAGAATTTCGGGGAATAAGAAAAGTGGGGAAGAGCGGAAAGCATGTTGGATTTTTGGAATAAAGAAAAAGTTTTTGAGAAGGAAGAAAGCTTGATGGCAAGAAAGGACTTGTAGGATTTTATGTAAAAGGTGTAATTACGGAGAAATTTTGTTTTTAAATATGGGGATCCAAAAAATATATATAAACAGCTGTCACTTGTTGTATGTTATTAGATTTTATAGAGAAAGTATATTCATAAATCTCCACATGATTATTAATCAAAAGGACTCTGATATTTCTTTTAATAGAGACTTATTTAAAGATGTTTGAATATTATATATATACGTTTTATAACACTATTTTAAAGGATAATTTTGATTGTGATGAGTTTCTATTGGAATTTAAGAATAAAGTTGACTTAGAAACTTTGCAGCATGATCTAGCTTTATACTCAAAGGAAATCAGCACTGAAATATATGATATAATAAATGAAAATTATTCGGATTTTATAGATTTTACGAACAAATTAGTATTTACTTATAATATTTTGTTAATTAATATATATTAGTCTGAATTTGAAAATACATATGAAAATTTTAATAATCCATTGAAAGCCTTAAAAAATGAAATAGAAGTAAATATAGTTTTCTTATATTACAACCTTTAAATTTAGTTAGTTTATACTAGTATAAATAATAGTGAAAATAGTAACAAGCAATATCTTGAAATATTGATAAATGATATTGACTTTAAAGTATATCTGGTTTATATTTTATTTATTTTTAGTAACTAGGAAAATGAACGTTTATGTAATTATTTGCTAAATAATTTGAATAAAATTGACCAAACTTTAAATGAAAATGATTTGATTATCGATAAATCTTTGTTAAAGTTACCAATAAATGATATAAACTTAGAGGTGAACAGGTTGTAATTATATGCTTGGTAGCTTGTAATATTTTTTTTATAACAACAGATTTAATGATAATTTTATAATACAAAATATGGGAAATGTTCTGGCAAATATTGAAAGGTGTGCTATTGAATATCCTTATTTATTTACTATTAAAAATACATATGACAAATCTGCCAGTCTTCAATATACCCCAGAGGTTACATAAATATATATGTATGTCTAAATACGAAATTTGAAATTTTATTTACAAAATTTAAATATGTTGCCAATTTGGGATTGTTACAATTCATGTCAAACTATGTAAGAATTATCTAAGTTTAAGGTTTTTAGAAAATGGAGCAGGGTTAGGTATAGCCAGGGTTTTTCTAAGGGGGAGGTTGGTTCCCTACTAATATTATTGGAGTAAGAACCTACTTTAGGCATTTAATTGTTACATACATTTTTTTAAATAATAGTTTTGTTTTTATACTTTTATTCTTAAAATTTTAAATTATACTATTTTAACAAATAATTGATTGGTTTATTAAATTCAAATTTTCTCAAAATAATAAAAATATGTTATTATTAGACCTGTCACCAACTAAACTATTACCCACCAACACGAGTTCTAGAAATCTAATCGGTGGCCCACTTCTTTTTAACTGCCATCAACAGAAGTGCCATAAATCAACAGACATAAATTTAATAGCAATTTTATAATATATATTTTGAATTGATATTTAAATTCATTTAAGATAAATTAAAATAAAATGTACACACACACAGATTATCGGCATATCAAATTCAATTTTGTAACTTTATAATCATTAGAGATCTGCAAAGTTAGGCCCGAGTCTGGCCCAGCCCAAATGGACTTAGGGTTGGGCTCAGGCCCTAATTCAATTTAAAATAATCGGGCCAGGTCTAATATTTTAAAAAAAATTTGGGCTGGGTCAGGTTGGACCTTGAATTTTTTTAAAATATTTAATTTTTTATGTAAAATAAAAATATCGATTTTATATATTGAAACTAAACGACATTGGGCTGGGCCGGCAAAACTTTTTTAAAAAAAATTTCGGGCTGGGCCAGGCTTGAAAAATTAGGCCCGATGCAGACCACTAGTTATCATTAATAAATAATCTTATCTTAAAGATGATCTCCTTGTATTTAACATCAATCCAGTGGTATAAAATTTTATTGTGCTAATTTTATAATATAAAAAATTTTTTTAGTTAGTGGGGAAAATTTTATAATTTCTATCCTTTTCTCTCCAAAAATATAGAAAATCTATATCCGGTGAATGGAATTTCCCGAAATGAATATGGCATCTTCGTTCTACAAAGTCATTTATGAAGTCATAATTTGTACTTGTAGAATGTTGATATTTCTTCTTGATTTCCAATCTCTATATTTATTAATCTAATATCTCATATTCTATATTACACAATTTTAGTTTTAAAAATCTTGGGTCTAGAAAAGTACACTTAGGCCCCATTTATAGTAAACGCGTTTTGTTCAAGTGTTGCGTTATTTAACGCAGCGTTATTGCAAAATTAAGTCAAATAAGTAGGTATAAATTTATAAATATGGAGCGTTATGATAACTTTATGATAAAATTTGAAAAACATATGTTGAGATGCATTGATAAAAAATAAGCGATACGATTATAAAAATAATATCGAATTCGATAAAAAGGTATATGATTTTTCTTACATATTATATAAAATAATCATCCCTATTTTAACTTTATCTTAAATTAGTTTTTAAAACTGAATCAGCTGTGAAAGCTGCGCATTAAATAACGCAACGCCTGAAGATAACGCATTTACTATAAACGCAGCATTAGATTTTTTTTTGAAATAAAAAGTATAAATAAATTAAAATACTTGTATAATATTACTTGCAAATTGCAACAGATAATCGTAACCCAAGTTTAACATATTTTCCTTAAGTAAAATAATTTCCTAGTTATTTAATATTAAATACATTTATGTTTCACTTCTGAAAAGTAATTGAGTTTGTAGGCCCTTTTTGTGAAGAGAAATTACTTTTCTTTAATTACACATTTTCTCTGATGATATTATACAATTACAACAGTAAAGCTGACCAATCAAAAAGTGTATAAAATATAAATATTATTTTTTTAAAAATTATGCGCGGATCGTGCTAGCGCATTAGCGCCATTTTCATAAATGGCGGCGTTGTTATTTTAATGGAATATTTATTATTGAAAAAATTATTATATTGCTTATAGCGATATGTTATATACACTATTTTGTGGAAGAGGAGGGTTAGAGTGGGTGTAGAGGATAGATGGGGGGGGGGGGGGTTATTATCTTAAAATGATATTTACAGGAACAGGTAAATTTTTGGGGATTTTCCCTTGTTTCCTCCCGGGATACACCTTTGTATATGAGGGAGTGTAAGTTATTGAAAAACTTTTTTTTTATATAATCTGCCAATCAAATCAATTCATCTGAGTTTCAAAAAATTAAAATGTGAATTTTTTTTATCACAAGAGGGTATAGAAAATGGGTAGATAATTATTTAATTAATATCCATTTCAGGATACATGATAATCTAATATATTCTCAAATATCAATACACCTCATAAATTCCCTATAATACTTTTTATGAGACAGTATTACAAATGTATAAAAAGTATTTTCTTTCTAAAATTAAGCTATTTATCATAAAATTAATCAATCAACCCTAAAAAAGATTATAATTATAATGAAATTCAAATTATAAACATTAATTTTTTTTCCAAAATCATAAGCTAAAATTTTGCTTCTTTTTTTTTAACACGAAAATTTTACAATTTTATAAAATTAATAAATCAATATCAAACATTAAGAATTCAATATTATACATAAAGTTATTATCAAATGGTAATTTCATTGAGTTGAGTTGTTTTTAAAAAATCTTTTTGAATTGGGTCACTTAGGGAAAAGACTTTTCTACAGGTTAGGTTAAGTCAAAAAAATTTGTCTCTTAGAGATCTCTACAGGCAAGAGGCCCTTTCCTAGTGTTGTTTAACAGAACTCAATATTTTAGCCAGAAAAATATTGCATGAGCCTCGAGATTTTACTAACATATGTCTAGACCTTTGTTCCTTCTATGACCAAAATCTTCAGGCTGGCGTGATATTTTTCTGGTTGAAATATTAATTTAGCTGATTTTTAACAACACTATCCTTTCCTACTTTACTTCTTGAAAATACCAGAGAAAAAATTATCCGCTACATTAGCATATCCAGGATTTATTCAAGGGGTGGTTATTTGTTTTGCGAGGATTTGTCCCCAAACCCTCACTTGATGGCTTCAGCTGGGTCCAGCCTATCAAAAATTCTGATTAGGTATTTTTGATTTAACTAGGGTTATCTTTACTTTGATTTATCAATATATAAATATTGTTTTGAAAAATCACGAAGCATAAGGGGAAAAAAAACCTTTTGCTTTGAAAGGAGATAACGATTAATAGGTCATAAGAAAGAATTAAATCATATGCACCTACATGATTGACTGACAGGTAAAGATTTCGGAATATTGTTTTTTTTTAAAAATATTTTTTGAAATGTTTTTTTACATCCCTAGTCAATTTCAAATAAATATGTTGGAAAAAAATTGATTACTGTGTTTTTATATTTTTATTTTATTGAAACAGTTTACATTGTTTGATAGCTAGATCAAGGAGGTGTGTGGAGGGGGGGGGGGTTGTAATTATTTAGCATGTCTAAACCAAACCCCTAAATTCACTATTGATTTAAAAAAAATTCTATTATATAAATCTTCATAAATATATCTATCACTATATGATATCATTTTTTTTTAAATAAATTAATTTGCCCTGCTATTTAGAAATTAGAAAATATTCTATCAAAAATCATGGATCAATGCGAAAAACTGTTCATAGCCTTGATAGACCACCTAAGATCGACACCTAGCAAGACTCAAATATTTACCGATCATTTGAATGTCCTTTTACAGATTTACAGCTACTTGAACCGTTACAGTGATGCTGAGAATATCTTAGCAACCAAAATGGTCGGAATAGATTTAGGAAAGGTTTTAAGAATTTTTTTATAAATATCGGTTTGCGCAACATTCATATAAAATATTTTACTATTATATATATAAGGCTGTTTCCTAAATGAAAAAAAAATATAAATAAATAAATTTAGTAATTTTGAGGAAAAAAATAACATGAGCTATTTTTGATGTAAAAATAAAATAGTGTTCTAATTAATTTTTCGAAAGAAAAAAAAATAAATTCCTGTAAATGACGATAAAGATTTTAAAACACTATTTTATTTTTACATTGAAACGGGCCGGGTCGGGTTTTTAAATTTTTTTAAAATATATGTAAATTTATCAATTTTATGTTGAATTTTTTATGTAAAATAAAAATATGTGATTTTATTTATAGAAAGTAGACGCCATATAACATATATCATTTATTTTGAATAATTATAAGAATTAATTTCTATATTTAAATAAATTCGGGCCGGGCCTGCAAAATTTTTTTAAAAAAAATTTCGGGTTCGGGCCGGGCCGGGTAAAACTTTATAAAAAAAATTTCATGCCGGGCTTGAAAAAATAGGTCTGATGCAGATCATTAGGACACAGCCTAAAATAAATGCTAAATATGTAATGTATTTATATTATTTTTCGCAATTTTTCTAAAGATAATAGATCTAGAGAATCTGCAAGGCCCTCCTAAGTATACCTGTTCTACTACAGAACGCTCATTAAGCGGTTTAGAGACCATTTACCGGGAAATACTGGTATTCGTTTCCGAAAAATGCGATATATTTATTCACCAGACATCGACCGAAAAATGTGGAATTCTTAATGGGTTTTTTAAAAAAATTATATTAAGTTTATTAATTATTGAGATCGTTATAATATCAATGTTAGCGGCCATAGCCTGCCTTGATAAATTTGAGAACATTTCTGGGGTGAATTTACCTAAATGGTCACTTAGAATAATTGTAAGATGGGGTAGAAGAGAATTCATTCTAATAAAGTATGGTATTTTTGCATTCTAGAGACAATATAAAAATTATTCCATGATTTTGTTTGCAATTCGGAACATAGATTAAAAATGCGGAATATTTATATTTTTAAAAAAATGGCCGAGTTCCGGTTTTTAGATATGTTAGGAGCATAATTTCGGTTTCTTTTCTATATTTGTCGTCCCGATTCCCAGGGCTTCTTTAAACTGATTATATATTATATTTTATGTCAAAAAATAAAAGAATATCTGGGTTCAACTTCTTGAAAAACTCTATTTGGCCCGAAATAGTTCACCTCTTCAAGGTTCGGCTATCTGACTATATCTACTCCTGTATCAATCCAGACACGTTTCACTCGGTTACTCTTTCTTTATAATTTAAAAAATAAAATATATATTTGAAGATTATAGAATATAAAATGTTTTGTTCGGGCCCAACGGAAGCTTCTTCATCCCATTTTAGACGCTGCTTCCTCCCCTCCCCTGATATATTAATATAACGGGGATCGCGTAAGCGCGTACCTTTCTGTAAATAAATGGACCAACCTTTGACAATTTCTAGGATGGTGGGTGAGCTCTTGAGCTTCGAATACCTAAGCCTAACGCCTTCGACTCATACCTTGGACCATCCCATTTTTTTAAATTATCATTATGTTAATATTGGAATACTTTAAAAGAATAGAAACAATGATTATAATGCGAGACTTTGAATATCGTTTTTAAATATCACGATTAGATCTACGGTAATTAAACAATCACCTGTGTGCCTTAGATTAATATCTAGAAATATTAAGCAAATTGGCTTCGATATATTTTAAATATAATCGACATATTTATTATTTCGAAGAATTATGTCGCCACTCTAGTTTTCCTGGACGAATTTGAGTCCCATTTCGGTTCGCGGAAGGAAGTTTTGGAGTTCAGGGAAACGCCTACGTATCACGAATTCATAGACAAGCCCTGGAACCTGACCATTTACTTTCAAATTAGGTTCAAAATTCAATTTTTTTTTATCCTAGGGAGTGAAAATTTTAGGTTTCGTTAAAATTCATAAAGGTTTTGCGAATTCAGAGTCCATATTCCATTAACCCGTGGTTTTAGCAAATTTTTACAATTAGGTCCATTTTGCCCGCGTTTTTATAAGTTTGAAAGATGCGATCTTGTCGGAATGGTGTAGAAGAATTAGGCTGCGTTTATAGCAAACGCGTTATCTTCAAGCTTTGCGTTATTTAACGCTATCGAAATCATTTATCATAACCTTCGTCATAATGCTCTATGTCTATAAATTATACCTATTTATTGGCTTGATTTTGTAATAACGAAGCGCTTCAAAATAATGCGTTTAAGTACAAATACGGCCTTGGCCTTTTAATTTTACACAATTTCTTAGTAAATATTTTTGTATTTATATTAAAAAAATAATATAAAATTCAGTAGATAGGTACTCTAAACATGTTCGAATACTATTTAGGAAAAATCAGATCTTTTAAAGAATTAAAAAAGGCGCCCTATAAATGATTTAAGTTTATAAAAAATTTCTTAATCTACTACAAAATATAACCTAACTTTTGAATATCGTTTTTTTCCATTTACCATTTTTTAAGAATATATATTATACTATTTCTATATAATATTTAGATTTCAAGAAATCGCTGGCAATTTTGAAAGGGTTCTGCTTCAAGATCCTTTCGCGAAATGCGAAAGAAGCTCGGATATTAGTATTAAAATATGAAATTTTATTATATATTTTCATTCCGCCATTTACGCTAATATATTCATCTTATATAGGAATTAACCATTTTTTCAAAAATAAATTGAGGCGATTTGCTTTTTTTTTTTAGTTTTTTTTCTTGGAGATGATATAGGCAAGGATTTTTAAAAATTTATATTTCATTTTATTTTTTAATTTCTTAAACATCCTTTTCTAACGATTTAGCTCAGAGGGTATATTTATAGTAAGCGCAAATATATATAGCGAATGCATTTGTTTGACTTTTGTATTCTTTTATTGTTATTATGGCCGATATCGCGCTTAGCATCTCTCATTTTTTGCACATATTTGTTTGTAATTATATGCTATTAAGTTATACATACGTTTTTTTTTCTTTACTAAGATGAAAAAAATTTACCACCTTACAATTTACTTTCAACCATGTGCATGCATACCTCGATTCAAACCTGTTGGGATAGGCGCCAAACATTTCTTCCTCCCTTGTCCCAAAAATTTTGGAAATTAACTCTTCAAATTTTGTCTAGACATCGTTTTTGGATTGAAAAGGTTTTTAGCAAATTTATCGGCTCTTATATATTTTTTTGTGATATATAATTTATCAATTGGTCACTAACCGCCCCCAAAGATATAATATATCCAAATTTTTAGGTTGCGCATCTTAGCTCATATTAATTTTTCGCCTCTATTCGGTAAACAGCTGATTTCTTTTTTGGATTTTTTAATATCGATTTTAATTAAGAATTTGGAACCAGAACATTTCGTCGTGTTAGTATTATAACTATATCCATTTTTTAAAATAATTTTTTGTATTTAGATAATAAATAAATAAAATAATATTCCTTGTATTTAAGGTGGATATGAGATCGCGCCATAATGATGCGAATAAAAGATTATTCTAAATTTATACTTTAACATTTTTATTGGTGATGTGGAAGAATACAGTATTGAGGATTGAGTTATCCATGAAAAAAATATTCAGCCGACGATTTTTAGGGACTCGAACCTGAACCGAAACCCTTTTTTAAAATTTCTCAGAATTGGTTCGAACTCGTTTTCAAGTGTTTAAAATGTTGTGACTAATTTTAGAGACTTATTTTATTGTTTAAATTTTTTTTGATTCCTTAAACGGAGTTGAATATGGATTCGGAATCCAAAATCTGTTGATATTTTCAAAATTCGTTTATAAAGTTTTTAACTCATATTTATTCTTATTTTTTCCTAGTTTAAAATTTGTATATTTTTTTTTCAGACAGTTAAATTAGAATTCTAAAAAGAAAATAGTTAGGGAGACGCAACCTCTATATTTTTTTTTATTAATAGTTACTATAAAATGATAGTTTTAAGATCATGTTAAAATTGCTATTTAATACTATTCTTTTTCAAATATAATTCAAACGCTCTAAGATAGAATTTATCTTTTATAAAGAAGAGAGCACAAGTTTTGAAGTCAATAATTTTTTACTCTACCGTGTAAGCCAGCTTTCGGTCTGATCTCTTTTCTCCACTTTTTACGGTCCTGAGCGTCGTCGCCCGTTATGACTTTCTTCCACGTCTTCGATCTTGCCCTTTCGTTCTACGTGCCCAAATCACCTTAGTCTATTTCTTCACATAACCACTCCAGACGCTTCTATGCCAATTATTTTACTCAATTTTTTGCGTTTCTTTCTCTCTCATAGGGTCATTCTCATCTCTATTCTCCAATTTAGCTTCATGCGCCGCTTTCATTACCCACGTTTCGCCATTGTAGACTATACAGTTTTTCACACAACATTGATAAACTTTTCCCTTCATTTCAGATATACGTTCTTATCAATTAAAATAGACGACATATCTCAAAATTTCCTTCATTCATATCTTACCCTTGCAACAACTGCAGAATCAAAACCTCCATCTGTGTTCATCGTGTCATCTAAATAACAAAACATCCCTTTGTCCAGGGGAGCTTCATTACCTATATTTAAACCACCATTTTTACGTTATTATTATGAGTCACAATCTAGTGGATCACTTCCCTTGTAAACCTATATCACTCACTACACTTCTTTCCCAGTTAGCCGGAATATTTCCTTCGCATAGGATCTGCACAGATCTGTCATCCATTCTACTCTAATTTCTTCGCTCCATCATTTTCGCCAACACTTTTGTTGGGCCTGCTCCTTTACTTCTCGTCATCTTCTTTAACATTTTCCTAACTTCTTCCTTTAACTTTATGACGTCGCGCATCCTTATCTCACTCATTTTCTTCATTTAATAATGTTTTCATATACTTCTTCCACATCTTCTTAATCTAATTGTTTTCAATAACTATCGTCCTAATAACCATATCCGTATTGGCTACTTTCTTACTTATTCTCCCAGGATATCATATTGGTTATATTTAATCAATTTATTTAATTCTAATAACAATATAATACATATTTTTATTAAATATATTATATTATATAATCATTTTAATATAACGCCATCTATACTACCTTTTTTTATTTATAAAAATAATAAAGATTTTAATAAAATTTAAAAAACAAAAATGGCTATCGAGATTTTTTATTAAATCGTTTAATATAAAAATAATGAATCAACTCCCAAAAAAATCCCTTCCTAACAAAGTTAATATTTTATTTTTACCGGAAATAAGAAAACATTCGGAATTTTTAAATTTTTTTTCAATATTTTCCAACGTAAAATTTTAAGGGCTATAAAATGATATTAATTTGTAACTCTATCTTAAGTTTTTTTTAAAAAAAACAAGATATAATGAAATCACGACTTTAAAGGCGTATATCTTTGGATCTGGTTGAGCTAGCACTCTAAAATTTTGATTTTATTAACATTTACAACATAAATAACTAATATGCCAAGTTTTATCCATTTTTAAGATGGTCGGCCGAGTCACTGGTCGATTTGTCATGGAATTACCCATAATCCCTAAAACAGTTAGAATATTCAAAGGTTCAAACTAGTTCATGGAATTTTTTAAAGGTTCGGTTGACAACTGGCTTGGTGGGTTAGGCTCGATAAACAACGTTTAATACTGGTTTGGGTTTGGCTTAGATCCCTGGTTTCCATGTCGCCCTTTTTTATGTTATAAAAGAGAAATTCTATCTTTAGTTGACTTTTAGACGAAAATTTGAAATGTATATATTTTTGGGGAAAAGAATATAAATTTTGAAATTTGAAAGAAATTGATACGTTTAAGGTAAAAAGTATATTTTTTTTCTACGAAAATTTATAATATGTAAAAGAATTTAATTATCGATTTCTAATGTTACCTTTTCTTTTAGGATTTCATAGCCGATATCGAGAACTATACTGATTGGTCAACCTTGACGCTCGGTTTGTTGGTGGATATCGATTTATTCATTGCCCAAGTTATTTTGTTCGATTTTTTTTTCTTCTACAAGCTTATAAAAAGGATATATTTAATATAAGTTAATTCCTTAACTTTTAGAGGGTACAATGCCATATTTACAAAACTATTTTAAGGAAAAATTTAACCAAGAACACATATCATTACTAATTAAAAATGTTTCACAGTTACCGTTGATCTATTCCACGTGTATAGAACCTGCTTTATCGGAATCGTTCGACAACTTAGATTCTTCTGAAGCTCTTGAATGCCGATTGAAATTTAACGGTAATATCTATTTATTTTTTTCTTATTGAATTAACTTTATTTATCTGCTAGACACGGTATGTCAATCAACCATATCCGAATACCAATCAGGCGTAATACCTCATCTCAAAAAGTTATTGATAAACAAGTTGCTCGTTAATGATCCCTCCAATGAACGTTGTTTTGACAAAATATTTGACATACCAAAGACCTACAGACACACTAAAAGATGAGAATTTTGATTATAAGATAACCATTTTCTTTTTTGAAGAAGGGAATCTAAATTGGAAGGAGTAAGAAAGGAGTGAAGAAACAAATAGGAATTAATTAAATATTTTTTTTTAAAAAAAAGTAGAAATAAAAGTAATATAATGAAGAAGCGAAGAGAAGAATAAATTAAAAATAAATCATTTCAAACAAATTTTTTTTATATATACAAGACCCCTCAAAATCCCTCGGATTACGTAAACGAACTTGTGCGTTCTTTCGAAAAATTTGTAAATAAAATTAGCACAGGGCTAATGATAGATGGCGCAAAAGATGGCGAACCTATTAAAACCGAAATACTGTCCCAAGCTTTGAGATCATTTACTATAAAGTTTATAATATATATATTATGTATAGCCTTTTTTTTTTAGTACACACAATAGTGCCTCCTTTTCCCAAATACTAAGACTGTGTACCAGGTCGGCTTAATTTGGATACTTAATTGCTTTTTAGTAGGCTAAAATGTTTTTGAGCCAGGGCACCCTATTTTGGTATGTTTTAAGAATTTGGGGACATTTTTATTTTTCGTATTTTATTCTCGTTTTTTTTTTGATTATGTTTTTTTCTGTTGTTTTTTTTTGACTATTTGGTATTAATTCAACTCAGGACACGGCCTAAGTGATTTTTCAAAAAAACAGAATGTCTAAACCCAAAAATATAAATATTTTTATAGGAAAAATTAATAATATTTTTTTTTTCAAATCTTCACTTAACATAGATAATCGAATGTAATCTTCAAATATTAATTTTAACAAGCCTCAGCAATCCGTATTTTGCAATTATGTTGTGGCTAGATCTGGAAAATATAGTTTAAGAAATGCTTTTATTTTTTGGTTCTTTCTAACAAATTGAAGCTTTTAATTTTTTTTTTTTAAAAACTCCAGATTTTTTTTGTTTTTAATTCAAACTTTTAATTGCTTTACTTAATATTCGATATTTTGTAATTTACTTGTTCAAAGATACGGCGCTAAGATAAAAGAACTCCTTTCAAATGTCCAAAGAACGGAAGAAAGTTTGATGAGGTTAAAAAAGGTAAAAGGGCTTCTGACAACCCCCAACAACCCGGATAACGCATTAGCTCAAATTTCTCCTATTACAAACTTAGTAACCGACGAGTCTAAAATCAAGCTGCAGATCAGAATAGATGTTCAAAGTTACATAAAATTGGTGAGAACTTGTATTATAAATTAAGAAGAAAAACGATTTATAAGGAATTCGATTTCTCATAAATAGCGGAAAGTATTTTTAGCTAGTGTTGATATACTAATAATTTGTTTATAATTTATAAATAATATTAGTTTTTTTCTTTTAAATTAAACAATTTTGCAAGATAATTTACAAAACGTTTCTTATTCCGAAAAAAATAAATAAATTGATATTTAAATAATATAATATAAGCAAAATATGCGCTGTAATTTATTTTAATGTAGTTTAGCTACAAGCAGAGTGTAATTTATAAACGAAATTAGTTACGTTTTTTTTAGCTCATGAACCTTCCTTAATAAAATACATAATTATAAATAATTTATTTTAAAAATTTCTAACCAAAAACATTGTCTTAAAATTGAATATATTGGGGTAATAAAAAATAGTTTATATATGGAGGCGGGCGCCAAATTTTAAAAAATTATGTCCGAAATTTGAATTATTTTTTGAACAGGTTTTTGTATGTTTTTTGACAATATCAAATTATTTTATTTTAGATGAAAGGGTTCGAATTGAATCTTTTTATCGAAGACAATAGTTTTGAAGCCTTAAACGATTTGGTTAAAGAATGATCGGCAAAAAACAAATGGGAAAAGGTCATGTTAAAGAAATTTTTAAGCATTTATTTTATTTAGCATTGATAAATGTGATATAATATACAATTCATATGTACAAAGCATAAATAAAATATATTATATTTATTAATTAATGTTTATTTTATTTTTTTTAAAAAAATCGTAATGAATGCTATTATTTTTAAATAAGGAAAATTTGTGCAATAGAATTTAAAATAGCATTTGATTTAATTGATACCAGTATAGTATAAATGTAAACCCATTTTGTAATAAAAAAAATTTTTCATAGGAAAGTTTTCTCAATTGTTAATCTCCTTACACATGCTCTAGGAATATCAGATAAATTTTCAATATCTTTATTTAGGTATAAATCATCAACTAAAATAAGCTCATTTAAATTTAATTATCAAGAATAATTAGTCATTTTTTTTCTCTATCAATATATATATGTATTTATATTCACTTCTTACAAAAAGATCTAATGAATTAAACCCAATATTATTATATTTATAAAATAAATTTATTTAATTCAACAAATATTCTATGCAGTTACATAAATTTCAAAAATGTATTATAAAAAATATATCTTTCCGTGTAAGGTATAATTAGTTGTAGAGGACTGGTTGGCATTAAAACACATGATAATTATAGTGAACGCTTTGAAGTAAAGATGGGGCAGCATCAAGATCATTCTTTCCATTATTATATATCATCGTAATGGAAGCGTTTATGAGAGAGGTATATGGAGTACTTCCATGAAGACTTACCACCTAATAGAATATTCGGCCCGAGAAAAATATACCAATTCTACATTTTACAGTTTTTTCAGATAATATGAAATTAATAGCTAATAACCCGTCAAGAATGACCGGGTTGAGGGGGTGATTAGTTAGTTTGTGTATATGGTACTAAATATACTTTATTAATATATTTTATAAAAATCAGAGACCTGCAGAGGCACCATTTGCACGGCCCGGCCCGGTTTTAAATTTTTTAGGCCCAGCCCGGCCGGGATATTTTTTAAAAATTTTTTTACGGCCCGGCCCGGATTTAAAAATTTCAGGCCCGGCTCGGAATTTTTTAAAATTATATTCCACCTGGTATATACAAAAATTCACCCATGAGGTATTTTACCATATTTTTCAGCGAATATTATCGCATATTATTTAAAAAATACATGAAAAAAGCTAATATTTTGAGAATATTATATTGAATTTATAAAAATTATAAAACTGTTATTTATTAAAATGGATATTTTGTGCATATACTATATTTTTTGCATTTATAAAAATAAAACTAATATTCATAAAAATGGTAATAATATTTTGAGCATATACTATATTTTATATTGCATTTAAAAAAAATAAAACTAATATTTAATTTATAAAAATGGAAAATATTTTGAGAATATAATATATTGTAAATCGTTATTTAAAAAAATGCATGTATAATAAATAGTATTTTGAAAATATAATCTAATTGCGCAATATTAATATAATTTATTTTATAATTTTTAAATATTTTATATTACATTTATAGGTTGGTTTTTCTGGTGTAAAAAAAAATTATTAATTTTCATGGATTTACCATCACATTTATGTCTTTTTAGATGTGATGTACCATGTTTATAATTATAAGATAATATACTTGAACAATTCTTACATTGTACGTAGCCAATGTTTTTTTATTTTCATCTATGATGTTAAATTTAGCCCATATTTCAGATTTTAAATTATTATTTGTATTTCTAAAAGAATAAATATTATTTTTAATTTTATTAATTGTATCATTAGTATTTTGTGCCATGATATTCCTTTATTTGATTGTTTTGGTAAATATTCAAAAAATTTAGATATGAATTTTAAAAAATATATTATTAATACTTGAATATTGGGGCTTATTTAAGATATTTTTTTATTTGATTGTTTTGGTAAAATATGTTGTAAAAATTTAGATATGAATTATAAAAAAATATATTAATACTTTGTATAAATTTGCAGGGAATTAATAATTAGATCGATCTGTGGGTGTAAACCATCATCCAATATTATATTAATCATAACTATAATATAATATAATCTTATAACCATTAACTCATAATGTAAAAATTTTTATAAAAAATATTAAGGCCCGGCCCGGGATATATTTAAAAAAAAATTTTTAGGCCCGGCCCGGGTATATTTAAAAAATTTAAAATACGGGCCGGGTATAGGGCCGGGCCTGCAGGTTTCTGATAAAAATATTAAAATTTAGGAGAAGTAAATTTGTGAATCACACCTCATAAGTTATACTTACTTTTTGATTCTTCAATCATCGAATAAGGGAGAAAAGTATGATGATCCTTCTTTCTTGGTGGGCTAAATGAAAAATATAATAATTAAGAGTACCAGAGCTCCCGGTAGTCAGCATTGCGGAGCTCGTCAAAAATAACGAATGAGAATTTTCTACTTTACTTTTATGATATCTGTTACCTGTTATTTGAGAATAATATCCAATTTTTATAATTTATAACCCCCTCCCCCCTTCAGACTAGGTCCTATTCATTAAAACTAAGTGTAAATATTATGTTTTGAGTTAAAATATATTTAAAGCTTTTACTTGATACCCATGTCAATGTTATTTATTAAAATATTACTGTTTCCCATACCTAATATTTAATAATAAAAAAATTCCCAAGCAAGGTTTAAGGCCATAATAATTTTGAAAAAATTTCCTCAAGCCGAACCAACTAATAATTTTGGTAGCTAAGAACTGGAATAAAAAATTTAAAAAATCATAGCAAATTTAAAATACAATCAAATCAGATTTTCATGGGATTTTAGGCCATAGCCCATATTTAAAATTAAAAATATTTCAAGCATCTTTATTTTAAATTTTATCCACTATGATTTCTATTACAAATTTAAATTTTATTCTAAATATAAAATTAAATTTAAGACATTGTTATTAAGTTACAATAGAAATAAATGGCAAAATTTTAAAAATGTCAGCTATGCTAACGGCAATTGAATTGTATTAATATATATAATTATGATATTTAATGTAATTATAATTCAAGTTAGTGTATACTTAAAACGTGTATTTTTGAAACGTGAGGTTTGTGGTTCGATGCTGGTAGATGGCAAAAAATTAATAATACACAATATAGTCTCCTTAAATTTTAATAACGTTAAGATGATACTAAAACGATCATATTATTATGGAGATTATATATATGATTTAATTTATAAAATTATCTTCTTTATTCTAAAATGAAGTATATTTCATTTAATACCAAAGTAAAAAATTACATTTGTGTTCATTTTTGAAAATGTATTTTATTTTTAATGTATGTTTGATTGATAAATATTATAAGTCTAAATTTTTAACTATTTTATTTTACCTAGCACCAGAATTGTTAGATATTTTTCAAATTCTAAATCATGGTTTCGAACCGTACCGTTATAGTTTTGTGAACCATAACCGAACAGTCATGAAGAAAATAGAAAAAGAGCAACCCGAACTGTTGTAAATATTTTGAGCGGGTTAAACTGGTTTATAACGATTTTAAAATAATTAATTTTATTAACCTAAGCTTAAAATTTTAATTTTCAATGGGGCCAATTTTTCGTGATTTTTCAAATTTAATTCCCAGGTTTATGGGGAAAAAATGATAATCATAGTAAAATCACAGACAGTGATACTTTATTTGCCATTCAATTAAATCAAAAAAATATTGCCTCATTGGATATGGATTCTCTATATTTTAAATAATAATTTGGTATATGTGAGAACGTTGCTGATTCATTAATTATAACTATTAATCGAGCTGTCAACTTTACCTGATTTCTTCTGCATTAATTTTTAATTTTAATAATATGTATTGGTATTAGTGTTGTTAACGGGCCCGATTTTTGAAACGGTCTAATCAGAATTTTCGCCATAATAAAATTATGTATGAAGTTTTGTCATATATGGCAGAAAGATTTAAACTTCCAAATCTCGAGGTCTAGACATTATTATTTTGAGTTGAATCTTAATAGGGCAGTTTTGAAAAGTCGGGCCGTTTAAAAACACTAGTTGGTATAAACAGAAAAAATAGCATTAAAAGCCTGATTCTTGGGATTATTTTAAATTAAAGTTTTTATATATTGAACTTTTACTTTCATTTAAAAAATAGACTATTTACTACCTTAATTTTAAATATAATTCTTTAATTTAAAGGTCTACTCAGTCCTTATCAAAATTTTGTCGAAATCTATCGAGCTAAAATAATATGTCGGAGTATTTCTTGAATATGCACAGCCAGATTATGCTCAGGCGGGGGAGTGGGCACTATGATGGGGTTTTATTGGAGGTCTTTATGCATAATTAATATAAGCGTTTAACGAAGTTAGAAATTTATACAAATTATTTTGATTTTTAACTTTCTTTTAAATAAAAATTTTTATTTTCGAAATATATAAAAAATAATGGTTATTTAAAAAATTTATTAGCTTTTACTTATTTTTCTTTCAAAATTTTGTATTTGGGGAGGGAGGTAATGTATGGGAGAGGTGTTTTTTTAGCATAAAATGATTTATGGGAGCAAGCAAAATGAGGGGGAGGTTTACCCTTCCCCCCTGAATAATCTTATGCATTCTTGATAATAAAATATGCTATAAAATATTGTATAATAATGGGTTTTATATGTTTCTCGGAAATAAAATATCATTTATTGTTTAATTATGTTTCTCGGAGAGAATATATGAAATATTTATCAGCTGATATATTTTATTAAAAATCATATGAATGTAAATTCTTTATTTGATTTATATGATAAATGTGAAGGCTTAATAAACGATGGAAAAGCTGATGAGGCTGAAAAATTCCTAGATTCGTTTATCGATAATAGTCTGATTTGTTTTAAACATCCTAGCACTAGTTTCCCCTCAACAACGCTACAAAATCAACTGTATGCTAGAAAATTAATGAATATACATATATAAATATCACAGTTTATAAGTATATAATAAAAATAAGATTTGCAATTTTTTCTTATAAGGAATTCTATTTGAGTTTTATAGCAAAATAATGATAATAAATGAATTTATCTTATTTTTGTAAGAGCAAAATAATTAGCAATGATTTTATGAAGATGTAACAATCTATCTACATAATTATCAAACTCTTCAGATATTTAAAGTTTTTTTAAATCTTTCCTAGTAGTTATTAAAACTTTACATTTATTGTTTTCAATTTATTGAAATATAATATGTTATAACTTAGGGTTTTAACTCTACTTTAGTTTCTATTATTTTATATTTTTATCTAAAGCAAACAGAAACTAGCATTAGCGTATAACAACAGAGGCCTCCTAAAATATTTTACAGTTGATTTTGAGAAAGCTGTTCAAGATTACACATCTGCTATTTCCTACAACAATAAATTAGCTCCAGCTTATTACAATCGTGGGCTCATATATTATCGTCTAGGTGAATATACAAATACATATATTTATATATACATTTTTGATTTCATTATTAAATTTTTACAGTATTGAATTTTACTATCCACCAAAGTAAAACAATAAATGTAGTTTAGAATATGGCTATAGTCAAGGGTATAACTATTTTTCTTATGGGGAGGATATGCCTAAAAATTTTAAATTGTGAATTACATTTTTTGATCACTTTTTGGATTTTTTTATGAATAAGCAAATAAGAATTTGAATTAAATAGTAAATAAAAATAGGAAGTATAATAAAATATAAATAACTGAAAAATGAGTAATTAGGTTTAAATCATTTATTTATATAATATTAAGGTTAATTTATATTACAATTCATTTCTTAGTGATTAAAAATAGTAAAATTTGTAATATTTTTTCATTATTTTCATAATGTATATATTATAAGGCAATTTTAATGAGGCTATCTCTGATCTACACAGTTCTCTTAGCATAGATCCATCTTTCGTATCTGCTCAACAATGCTTGCAAACCTCAATATCAGGAAAAAGAAAAAAATTACCAACATGATATATAACTTTATAATTTATGTTTTCTAAAAAATATATATATTTAATGATTTTTTATTCAGATATTTATTAAAAAATTTATTTATTTATTCATTAGTTAATATAATAATGGTTTAAGGAGAAACCCTGTTATCAGATAAATCACTCTTTGTTTATATTCTTAAATAAAATTTTGTTTAGCATTAAATTTATACTTATATGCAGTTTTAATTTCTTAAAGATATAAGTAACAGACTTCCTAAAAAACTAATTTTAAAAATATATCAAGATATTTTTAAAAATATCATTATACCGATACTCTTAAAAAATAGAATGATATAGATAATTATTTTATTATGAATATTATATAAGGTTTTCTAGTTTAATACTTTACAGTTCTATATAAGTTTTATGAAAATTATTACCCTGAATAAACAATTTATTTTAAATATTTTTTATGATAATAACCAAACTCAGTGATATCTTAACTTGATGAAATATTTTTAAAAATTTTAATTTTGAGTAACATTATAAACATATGATTTGAAATGAAGTAAAATAATTTAAATAATCCTGTAAAAACAAAAATTTAGATTCAAAACTATTTATTTCATTCAGAATTTTTAGATTTTTATATGTATTTCATATATAATTCAGCATCTTTATTTTATTGTGTTATGTTTTTTTTTTAAATTTGTTAAATTAAATGGATGATGTATATTTTTATTCTTTTTCAATATTAAACAATTGTTGAGGACATATATTTTATTCCTTTTTAATATCAAACACTAATATTACAAAAAAACATATAATATCAAACACTAATATTCCAAAAAAACATATGCAAGAAATTTATAATGTTGTAATAATATAATATTTTTTTGAAAAAAACGAAACACATCGTGGATAAAAAAAAAAATTTTTTTTCTCTATTTTTTGAATATGAACACATACATCATCAATATTTATGGTCCTTAACATATCATTTCAAAAAAGCAAATAAAGTAAAAAATATATAATTACATAACCTCATCCCCAAAAGAAGAGGAATTCAGCGGTCTACCTTGTAAAAAAGTTTCGGCAGCACTTGTATGCGACAGGTTTTACTGTAAAAATAAATAAAAAACGGGCAGCATTTCCGTGGGTCTTAATGAAAAAATATTAACGCGATGGTCGCTTACAGATAAGAGCACTCTGATTAACTCTTTTTATATTCAGCCGCCTCACCCAAGTGGACTTTGGCTAATCCCTTTTTTATATTCAACCGCCTCACAGAGGACTTGGTTTATTCTTTTTCGCACAAAGATAACACACAATTTTAAGTCTAAGATAATTTGTTTATTGATTTGATACTTCTTTTTCTTACAGATTATATTTCCAAATAACAAGTTATACAGAATAATTAATATATCACAAATGGAGAAAAATAATATATTTTTTTTAAACAAAATTATATTGATTACTTTTTTTTAAATGTCTTTTATATCTTGTATATTTTGAAAAATAAATGTAAATTTGAATACCCAACCTACTTCATTATCATCCGGCGCCAGGAATATATCCAATTTGAAAATCTCTAAGCTCGTTCACTCTCTACCTTTTCGCACTTGGAAAGATACCGTCGGAACAGGAGAGGTCAACGATAGCGGATTTAGCACAGATTTCACTACTGGCTCTCTGCACCCATGCTGAGCATTCCAAACGTCCTCTTATTGAACTGGTACCATAACAAGGAAATTGCAGAGCCTTATGTCCTCAATCTCGTCGCAAGCACTTAATAAGGATTTCTTCGTCCATTCGTAGGAAGATAAGCCCTAGAAACGACAAGGATTTTCTGCTGAACCAACCTATTCCCCAGGAGTCCGCCAATGGATTTCCTAGAATGGTATGGTTCACTTGGATCTTGGCATGTGGCCTACGGATATAATACTTATTTATCATAGGCAATATATATTTTTTTAAAAAAAACTTATAATTTACACATACTATAGGCTTAACAAAATAAATAAAATATTTCAATTCACAATAAGAATTCAAAAAAATTTCTTAACATTTACTTTGTTAAATACATAAAATCACGAAAATTTAAAAACTAACTATTTGATTTTAGATTACACCCATTATATAATTTTTATTTAATTTTCTTGAAAAAAAACGAAATAACATTTTCTATGCAAAATTTTAATTCTTAAACCTAGACCTGTGCGCCGACGAAATATTGGTGGCCTGCGCAATTTTTAATAAATCTAATCAACGGCCTGCGGCGCCGATTTTTAGCCGCCGTCAATAAAATCAGCGCATATATAAATTTTTATAAGATAATAATTGCTTATTAATTTTAAAAAAAAAACAAATAAATAACACTATTCTACAGATATCTCGGCATATTTTTTAATATTCATTTAATAGAAACCTTATTTATCCAAAATCGATTTCGTAATTTAATTATGTATAAAAATTATTTTATTGATGATCTCCTTGAATTTAACGTCAATCCAGCGGTAGAGAACACTCTTTCACTAGGTGTGCTAGTCGCCGGAATGCAAAGAATTTTTTTGGCGAGCCTGGAAAGATTGGGAAGTTCACTCTTCTTTACTCTCCAAAAATTTAGAACGTCCATATCTTGTGAATGTCATTTTTCTAGAAAACTGTGGCATTCTTGTTCTAAGTCACCTAACTTGGAATCATAATTTATATTTGTTGCATGTTTATTTGCCAATTTTGTCAAATAACTTGAATTTAATCATTCATCTTTATCCTCATTAGCTATATTTACTACCTGATTTTCATTATTCTCTATAAGTTTAAGATGTTTTATTATAAATTCTGAAGCTGAGCAATTTTGCTCTATTAAATACTTTGACACACTTGACAATTTTTAAAATCTTGGATCTAAAAGAGAAACCAATACCTAGATAATTTTAAATAAAAAATAAAAGTATATACTTATATAATATTACTTGCAGATTACAAATCGGAAATCGTAACGCAAGTTTTTTAGCATATTTTTCTTAAGTGAAATTCAGATTAAATGTGTTTCAATTTCACTTCTAAAAAGTAACGCCAAGTTTAAAGTAGGCCCTTTTGTACTGAATGAAATTCGACAGTTTCTTTAAATTTCGAAAGAAATGCTAATAGTTCTACCAGATCAGATTCATAATTTGATAATTTGAGAAAGTGCTTGATATTTAATTTTTAGGTTTTCATATGCCTGGAATTATTGTTATTATTATCATTGGAATTGCCAATTTGAAACCGGGTATCAGGGTATGGATCAATGCTGTGAAGATCTAACATGTCTGATGTTAAATCTATCGTACTTAGGCATTTTCTTTGATATTCCTCGAATTCAAATTCAATCTCTGTCGTTTTATATCTTAGAGCAGTAATAATTTCTCTAATTTTTGCAAAAAATTTCCAGAGGATTTTTATTATCCAAAGTTAGGATACTAAAATTATTAAAGTAGATGCATCCATTTTAAAAATATGTAAAATTATGGTGACTTTTGGAGTTTTAGATTTTTGATTAATTGAATTCTATAATGACGTCAATATAATTAAGATTTTAAAATAGTAGAAAATAAATTTTCCCAATTCTATTTGCCATATTTTTAATGTTATTATTTTATTGAACCTTATTTTCTTTAGTTCTTTTTCATATTATAACAAGCTTTTGGAAAATTATTCACTATATTTTATTTTCATATGCTTTGGAATCGTATTTATAAAATTTTCATGTTCCTTATTATGGAACTCTCCAACTTTTACCGATGCTCCTGGTATTTTACCAGTTTTATCATTGTATTCAATCTCACCCCATAATTGTAATTTCTTCTTCTATTATCCAAAGATCGAAAAAATGCACTGCCTCTAAATTTACTATTTGAGAAGCCCAATTTCAGTCATTTAACTATACTGTCATTTCTAATTTTTTAAATTCATTTTCCTTCTTTTCAATTTTTTCTATAACCATATTATTTTTTTTTATATATTATTAATGTTTTAATTCTTTTTTAAATTTAGTTATGTTATACATTAATTATTTTTTCCCTTTCATCAATTTTTAAAATAATTTTAAAATTTTTTCCAATATATTTTTTAATTTATATCTTCTCCATATATTATAAATTAATCCAATAAGTAAAATTAATATCATTCATAAATAATTATTACTATATTCATTGTATTTTAAATTAAAATCACTAAGTAATTAATACTATATTTATATACTTTTATTGTTTGTTTAGATTAAATATTGTTTCTTTTATAATGTTTATATATAATATTTATTATAACTTTTATTATAAAATTTTTACTTTAGTTAAGGGCAACTAATATAAAGGCTAGTCTAGTTTCTCTTTTATGCAATATTACATTTTTATTAAATATTTTACTTTTTTGGTAATTTATTTATAAATTTTTTTAGAAATTTATTTAGAAATAAATATAACAATGTAAAAAAAACATTTGATGGTTAATATAACTATAAATTATCAAATCTCCCTCTATTTTTATCTTTTAAACTAGCCTATATAATAAATATTCTCTAAAATTACATGATTGAACTCAGTAATATTGAAATTATTTTATTAATTGCTTAAAACAGCTGTGCAAACGACAATTTACCTGAGTTGGGTAAGGCCATAAATCATTAAAAAATATTTGGCTATTTGGCGTAAAACTATAAACACGCTTTATTTATGGTGCTTTTAGAAAATGAATTAGTAATTTAATAATTAATATGTGTATTATTTTCATTTCTTAGTTTATGTCAGAATTGACAAAAATTATGACAAAGGCGAAAACATCTGGGTCTCTTAGGTTTACTATGAAAAAATGTAATTATAATATCGTTTTTATTTGAAAATTGTAATCAAATATTTAGCTGATTGTAGTACAAAGCAAAGTAAAAAGAAAGATAAAATTACCAAGGACTCAAGTAATGCACCAAGTTTGCCCATAAGTTCTTCAACCCTAGAATCACAGAATAAAAGTCAAGTATTAATAAGAGTTACACTAGGAAGAGGCAAAAAGATAAGCACCAATGTAAAAAATTTAAATATTGAATTATTTTTACATATTTTTAGATATCCCATAAAGATGTTACAAAATTTCAACAAGTAAATACTATATATAATTTTAAATACTTTTTATTATCTTAGACATTTTATAATCTACTTAAAACTAATATGGATGCTCTAAGAAAAACAAGACCTAAAATATCTAAGAAAAATAAAAAACCAACAAATTAATTTTTTTTTATAAAAAATATTATTCAAAAAGCTTTATAATTTTTTTTTCCAAAGTAGTTACAATATTTAATAAATAATTTCAATATTTTATTAGCATTATATACATAAACATAAGTGGTTAAATTCTTACAGAACATTGTTTGCTAGGATACTATATCTCTATGTGTAATACTAGATTTTCTTAATTTGATCTGGCCCATCTGACTGATCATAACTGGTTTTAAATTATTTTGTATATTTTATTCTTTGTTGTAAAGTTAAATCCTTGCAATAATATTATTATTCATTCAGATATATAGTATATACCAATTATATACCAATTATATACCACTTTCGATTTTATTTAAATCTAAATCTTTTTTTTAGACTTAAAAATAATATATAGTTGTTAATATTGAGTAAACCAAATATATATATCTAATTATTTTATCAAATAATATCTATGATATGTGTAAAACCAAATTTAACTAATTACAATAATTAATTTTATTTTTAACTGAAATAATTATGTTAAACGGGCAACCTTTAATTAGTTTGGTTTATTTTAAGTCTAATCAATTTTTTTCATACTCTTATGATTTTTTGTTTTGTGTCTTCCAGACCCTGAATTTGCCCATAGACTAAATATTATATATCTGTTGAATCTTTAGAGCTTAAAAAATAATCATATTTTTACTGACATCTCTCTTTTATTTGATTTACTCTTTATATTAACTTTCTATTTCCAGAAAGATATGAGTTATACAACATATGTAAATGATTATATTAATTACTAGCACATAGCCCTCAAAGAATGATGAGTGAATTATAAATTTCTCATTTAATCATGGGTGCATAAATTTACCCTTTTTAAATGAAGTAAAATTATGTAAAAAATAAATATTTATAATCAGAATGTAATTTTATTACTATTTTCAGAACACATTTGATGCAAAATAATGTTTTACTTTTTTTTGAGAAAAGGAAACACTTCAAAAGGATGTGTTTCTTTTTTTAAGTGGTGGTAACTCAAAATGTTATTCATTATTTAAAAAAATTTCTTAAAAAATAAGAGAATATTTTATTATATATTATTATTTTTCAAATTTTATAAATAATTTAAATCAATTTAGATCAACCACCAAAGTTCTTCATTTTTTTTTTGTTAAGTTAAGTTAAGAATTTCTTAAAATTTTTTCAAATACTTAATTATCTAATATGATATCTAAATAAATAAAATTTATGATTTTTTTAAGCATATGATCATGGAAACCAGCTATTTTCAAGATGGCGCCTAAATTAATGATGTTTTAAATACATTAAGATTAACCAACTGGCCATTTGCTAATATAAGTCTATGAAAATATGATAATTTTAATCGCACTGTATAAATCAGAAATTATAAAAGTTGATTCAGAAATTTTCTTGTAAATGTATTAAAACCTAGTTGAAATTTTTTTTTAAAATGATATTATGAACTTTTAAATATTTCATTGGAAATCTAAGAATATATATATTCTTCCATTTCACAAGTAATAATATTTTTAAAATATATTATCAATTAAATAGTATATTTTTAGCTTTGACAAGATATCATGTGTTGCTAGAATAGCTAAAAAAATTTCCGACACTTAAAAATTATAATTCTCTTTGTCGACTTTTTGAACAATTTAATTATCTCCAATTTTCAATAATAAAGAGTAATTATCACTGCTTTATACTATCAATAACGAGACCCTATGAATGAACATTCTATTGATAGGACAAGCTTAGTCTACTCAGCTTGCAATTAACAAATAATATAAACATTGCAAGATCAAAACTTGGCCTAATTGGACTGCCCTTCTACTTTTTACTAACGAATTTAGTGGATTGGTATGATCCTTAAATCTTCTATGATTTCAAATTTTTCTCAAAAATCTTTGAACATGCTTAAAAAAATTTTTTACGAAAAATTCCTCAATTTTTATGATTTCAAATTTTTCTCAAAAATCTTTGAACATGCTTAAAAAAATTTTTTACGAAAAATTCCTCAATTTTTATGATCTTCTAAAATTTTGAGCAAAAAAAAATATTCACAATTTTGGTTAAACTCTACAAATTACATCCTGTATAAATTTTATTGTTGAAAAACATCTCTCTAAGCTAATTTGAATAGCATATGCATTACCAATATAACATCAGACTTTTTATGTGATTTAAGGTATCGATTACTCCGTGCTAATTGCCCAGAGTCTACATGACAGAATTTTAATTGGATGCAAACCCCCTTCAAAAACCCTTGCCTACCCCTTTTACCTTTTTAATTATTGATATTCTTTACAGAAAATTTATAAAGGATAACTTTAATTAATCAATCTCTACTACCAACTATCGATATTTTGTGAATATAAAGAATTTATTTTTTAGATAATAAATTCAATTAAAACCTCCATTATTTACAATGAATTAATTATTATGGCATTATGAGCGAAATATGTAAACCTTTTAAATTACATTTAAACGGATAGCAGAAAGTTTTATTTGGAAAACAAAAAAATAGGGTGCGAACTGTTCCTACCCCTCCCGCTCATGTAGATGTAATTGCCTAAGATATTCATTTATTTAGACGGGGTTCTTTAAGAAAATAAAATATTTTTAATATTCTCTGTTCTTTTTAATAAAAATTTTTTTATGATTATGTTTGTTCATGAATTTGTCAACATCATAATCTTTTATTTCTTTTGACTTTTATCACTATATTTTGTTAAATTTAGCAAGTTCGTTATGGAGAATGATTTTTTGTGATATAACACTATAGATTATTTGTACTATGATGGCCTTTCATAATAGGGATAACTGGGGGGGGGGGGATTGCAAATTATAATCGAAAATATGCCTGTTTTCGTAAATATCATTAATAAACATTTCTCCCCCATAAACCAACTCTCCAGTGGCCCCTACAACAATAGGGTGGGGCTAAGAAGTATCCGCTTCTTAAAATTTAAAAGGGGGTACCTTTTAATAAAGAAATTTTTTTTATTCCATTTTTGTTTTGCCACATCCATCCATTACCAAATGTTCTTGGTATCGTGCCGCATGATATACTTGTGTTTTGATGTTTTGTCGCGTGACTTTTTGCTAAATATTGCTTAAGTTTAAAATTTGTATGCTCAATTTAACAAGTAAATTAAGTTATATAATATATATAAAAAAATGTTTGAATATGTATAATATTTTAAAATATATATATATAATATTGAATTATAGATAAATTATATTAAATAGGTAAATAATATTATAAATATATAATATATGTAAATAATATCATAAATAATAATATAAATCATACTATATTAAATATTACAATTATATATTACTAAAATTTATATTAATACAATTTATATTAATACAATTTATATATTGTTCTTTATATCAAATTAATTTAAATCAAATATATTAATTACTTTAAATATTATATTAAAATTATATTATGTTAAATATTACAATTATATATTTATTAAAATTTATATTAATACCATTTATATTAAATTTGATTTTAATATTAATTATGTAATTATATTAAATATTTGTTTAAGGTATTTACTAATTTATTAATACGATTAATAAATTTTTCTTAATATGATATTAATATAATATTAAATACTTAAATAGTAAAATCTATCTAATTTATAAAAGTTAAATTTTTAATATTTTTTTAAATATCTCGCTTCAAACTTATAGGGGCCATTTTGATAGCCCTTTTTGCTTATTTGCTTTTTTGATATTTTTAAGAGTATATGGAGCGCACCCGAACCAAAGTTCGTCTTACCATAAAATTCTTTTTCCAATTTCAAAATATGTACAAAAATACTAATAAAAAAATTAAAAATACTTAATTAATAATTGCATACGCCATAATATAAGAGACGATAAATTGACAAACCAATTAGAAATTAGCATGGTAGACTGAATTTAACGATATAAAAAGGTTTTGAATTAATAGTTTTTAAAGACATTATTAAACTAATTGCAGATTCGGAACCTGTTTTCAAATTGTATATTCAAAAAAAATGAAGAAAAAAGACTGGAGATAAAATAAAAACGATTATATTCTAATCTATTGTATAATAATATTAATATTCTCATTAAAACCATGAAAAATATGTTAATAAATCAAAGATTGAATTTAACCTATGTTTTTTAATTATAGTTGATAGTACATAATATGATGCTTCGAAATCAAGAGCATTAACTTTGTTAGTAATATATATTGGAAATAATAACACGACTGGTTTTATATTAAAAATATATATAATATGCAAACTTAGTTTCATGAATCTACTCCTCAAATTCTTAGTTCGGCAAAGCTCTGTTGTGCTTCAACCATGAGTGGAAGAATCAGGAGTACAGGCATTAGATCTGAGATCTTAAATTTATTTGGCGCCATTGTCATCGATTAAATCTAATTATTATTTAATTATGCCAATCGATAAAAGAACTAATAAATGTTTTAGCGATCTTAGATGAGGTTCACGTGCATTTCAGATATTAAAAAATATGCAGTATGTCAGAGTTATGTATTGAAAGATTTTTAGGCGTCATAAATACCACTCGAAATATTATATTTATCTTATTTGTATAGATTTTATTTAATAATTATAGAAGCTAGATATCATCATATAAAGCTATGTAAAAATTTATACTTTTTTAATATCTTGAGAGCAGTTCCAACAAATTTAAAGGATTCTGAAGATTTTGCCACTTCTACCATGGCTATTGCTATTGTTTTTAGAATAGAAAATTTTATTTTATCACTTTGTGTTTTGGATAAAATATTGTTGATTATAAACTTGGCTTGTACAAAATTGAAAACCATTTCGAAGGATATAGGGTTTGCAATAAATAATATTCAATTAGCAAATGCCTGATTTATGAGAAGTATAATTTAAATTATTGTCTTGTATTATTTTTCAATCCTAATAGATAATAACACTGAATTTGTGAATGTTTTTTCAAAAGCACAAGATTTTAAGAAGAGGAGAAATCTACCTTTTGAATTTGAAGGTTTAGACTTCAAATATTACAATTCAAAAAGGAGAGAATATATATTTTCATTATTAAATATAATATTTTATTTTAGCTGTAAAACACCAGTTTATGCTGCATTTAATTTGATAACTAGACAGTTTAATGAAGATTCAATAAGAATCAATGAAATTTTTTAAATCAAACATAATTTTTTATACCAAAGGGAATGGCGGAAAAGACATTCGTTAAGGATGATATTAAGAATAACTG